GTCTGGAACCCAATTCTTTAAGGAAACGTGTGGCACTTTTTCCCCATGATCCCAAGATCTCTGATCCCACTGGGACAAACTGATACTGTTGGCTTATGTCCCTGTACTTCCTGATCTTATACTCCTCCCTGTGGTCAGCAGCTCCTCCCTGTCTCCCCACACTGCGATGGATATAGGTGTCAGCCAGTGTGGACACACAGGTATAGTCCCATGTATATATATATATATATATATATATATATATATATATATATATATATATATATATATATATATATATATATATATATATTTCAACAAGTCGGCCGTCTCCCACCGAGGCAGGGTGACCCAAAAAAAAAGAAAGAAAATCCCCAAAAAGAAAATACTTTCATCATCATTCAACACTTTCACCACACACATTATCACTGTTTTTGCAGAGGTGCTCAGAATACAACAGTTTAGAAGCATACACGTATAAAGATACACAACATATCCCTCCAAACTGCCAATATCCCAAACCCCTCCTTTAAAGTGCAGGCATTGTACTTCCCATTTCCAGAACTCAAGTCCGACTATATGAAAATAACCGGTTTCCCTGAATCCCTTCAATAAATATTACCCTGCTCACACTCCAACAGATCGTCAGGTCCCAAGTACCATTCGTCTCCATTCACTCCTATCTAACATGCTCATGCACGCTTGCTGGAAGTCCAAGCCCCTTGCCACAAAACCTCCTTTACCCCCTCTCTCCAACCCTTTCGAGGACGACCCCTACCCCGCCTTCCTTCCCCTATAGATTTATATGCTTCCCATGTCATTCTACTTTGATCCATTCTCTCTAAATGACCAAACCACCTCAACAACCCCTTTCTGCCCTCTAATACTTTTATTAACTCCACACCTTTTCCTAATTTCCACACTCCGAATTTTCTGCATAATATTTACACCACACATTGCCCTTAAACAGGACATCTCCACTGCCTCCAACCGTCTCCTCGCTGCTACATTTACCACCCAAGCTTCACACCCATATAAGAGTGTTGGTACTACTATACTTTCATACATTCCCTTCTTTGCCTCCATAGATAACGTTTTTTGACTCCACATATACCTCAACACACCACTCAACTTTTTTCCCTCATCAATTCTATGATTAACCTCATTCTTCATAAATCCATCCGCCGACACGTCAACTCCCAAGTATCTGAAAACATTACTCAAGAAATCGTAATGACACGATTGCAAACAAACCATACCCCCGGCCGGGACTGAACCCGCGGTCATAGAGTCTCAAAACTCCAGCCCGTCGCGTTAGCCATTTGTGGTCACAGAGGTGCCTGTGCTAACCTTTCTATGGTGTAGAAATATACCTAGTTGGATGAATCTTTTTGTGGCTAGCTGGTCTAGTGGCTAACGCGATGGGCTGGAGTTTTGAGACTATGACAGCGGGTTCAATCCCGGCCGGGGGTATGGTTTGATCTGAAAACATTCACTTCTTCCATACTCCTCCTCCCCAATTTGATATCCAATTTTTCTTTATCTAAATCATTTGATACCCTCATCACCTTACTCTTTTCTATGTTCACTTTCAACTTTCTACCTTTACACACATTCCCAAACTCATCCACTAACCTTTGCAATTTTCTTTAGAATCTCCCATAAGCACAGTATCATCAGCAAAAAGTAACTGTCAATTCCCATTTTGAATTTGATTCCCCAAAATTTAATCCCACCCCTCTCCCGAACACCCTAGCATTTACTTCCTTTACAACCCCATCTATAAATATATTAAACAACCATGGTGACATTACACATCCCTGTCTAAGACCTACTTTTTACCGGAAGTATTCTCCCTCTCTTCTACACACCCTAACCTGAGCCTCACTATCCTCATAAAAACTCTTTACAGCATTTAATAACTTACCACCTATTCCATATACTTGCAAACATCTGCCACATTGCTCCTCTATCCACTATCATATGCCTTTTCTAAATCCATAAATGCAATAAAAACTTCCCTACCTTTATCTAAATACTGTTCACATATATGCTTCAATGTGAACATTAAAATGGTATAAAATACCGACAGATTGTTAGGTAAGACACATATGCAACAGTTAGGTATCTTTATTTCGAAACGTTTCGCCTACACAGTAGGCTTCTTCAGTCGAGTACAGAAAAGTTGATAGAAGCAGAAGATACTTGAAGACGATGTAATCAGTCCATCACCCTTAAAGTTTTGAGGTGGTCAGTCCCTCAGTCTGGAGAAGAGCATTGTTCCGTTGTCTGAAACAATATGAAGTTGAAGTGACAGGATGGAGCCTTTATATAGTGCCAGGAGGTGAGACGGAGGTTGCTTTGGGAGGGCAGGTCCCTCTCAAACCCAGCCGTTCTCACTAGTAGAGGTCGAAGTTGATGGTCTGTACCAAGATACCCTTGTGTTGCAGTGTCGGTATTTTATACCATTTTAATGTTCATTCTGTCAGACACTGCAACACAAGGGTATCTTGGTACAGACCATCAACTTCGACCTCTACTAGTGAGAACGGCTGGGTTTGAGAGGGACCTGCCCTCCCAAAGCAACCTCCGTCTCACCTCCTGGCACTATATAAAGGCTCCATCCTGTCACTTCAACTTCATATTGTTTCAGACAACGGAACAATGCTCTTCTCCAGACTGAGGGACTGACCACCTCAAAACTTTAAGGGTGATGGACTGATTACATCGTCTTCAAGTATCTTCTGCTTCTATCAACTTTTCTGTACTCGACTGAAGAAGCCTACTGTGTAGGCGAAACGTTTCGAAATAAAGATACCTAACTGTTGCATATGTGTCTTACCTAACATGCTTCAATGTAAACACTTGATCTACACATCCCCTACCCACTCTGAAACCTCCTTGCTCATCCGCAATCCTACATTCTGTCTTACCTCTAATTCTTTCAATTATAACCCTACCGTACACTTTTCCTGGTATACTCAGTAAACTTATTCCTCTATAATTTTTACAGTCTCTTTTGTCCCCTTTCCCTTTATATAAAGGGACTATACATGCTCTCCGCCAATCCCTAGGTACCTTCCTCTCTTTCATACATTTATTAAACAAAAGTACCAACCACTACAACACTATATGCCTTAGTTCACATGACGACGCTACTATGAATAAGATAGTGCAGGCAAGAGCAGTGGAAGCTTTGCATGTTAGGTAGGTGAATTAAACCCACCACCGCCACATGCGAGTCTACGACCACGGCGCGTCGCAGTCATGCAACTTTATGATGGTTCACCGGACCTAAACCTATTGTTTTCATTTCCTATTTGTGAGTTAATTGTGAAAATGCAAAATTATTTAACAAAAGTCTACATTTCTTGAGCAGTAGCGAGGTGCAGGTCGACGTAGACAATGTATTATGGATGTGAATATTGTGAAAGTGTACTGGGATGGGAGAGAGTGGATATAAGCGAAGGCAGCAACAGTGCTCAACCCCAGACTAGTCTAACTACTTATTACAACTCAAAGGTATGAATGATGTCTGCTGCACAAGTAGTAGTTAGTTGTGCCGCCTGAGGGACACAGCTAACTACTACTGGTACAGCTACTGCTCATCCTCCGAGCAGTAGCTCAGAACAGCACTGTGAATATGATGTTGGTATATAATACCGACAAATTGATAAGACACAGACTGATTACATCGTTTTTACATCTCTACTGCTCCTCTGTACTCGACTACCGTGTAGGCTTCTTCAGGCTTCGGAATAAAGATACCTAACTGTTGCACATGCGTCTTGCTGATCAAGAACAGCATTACAACTCACAATAACTCTCCCTTTCAGACACAACCTTAAAAATCAACATCACATTGCGCTAAGCGTTCTTACGCATCACTCACCATCAATATCTGAACATAATATTTCTCCTAACATACAGTTTTACATATAATAAACTGCCAATTAATAAAAGTTACAAATCCGTGTGAGAGAGGTCTGGCAACATGGTGGTGCCTTGAAAAACGATTCTTAAAGTCAGTACTTTCTCAGGTAGTGTGCGAGGCTGCCTCCCCCGGCCTCTCAGTAGCCTCAACACATGAACAAAATCAATGCAGTCCCGTCTCTCAAATTTTGTTTGTGGACTGTGGTTGATGTGGTGGAATTAATGAGTATCACTCTGCAGGAGGCAAGAGTATTCAACACAAGGGGACGCAACACTTTATACATACTAATTTAAATCTGAAACTATAATAAACCCAGACGATGAATCCTATCCTATTCTATTCTAGATGATTTGCCGGTATGGATCCCGGCCCGGGTCAATGAATCCTAGCACTCACAAGAACGTCTCACAAAGTTTATATGCTTACTCCAAGCAATTATTAAAAAAAAAACAGACTGAAGATAACTAATTTCTTCAAAATTTGTGGGATCATCACAGTAAGTTGTAAACAAGACTACAACAAATTACTGGTAGACAAAAATAAAACCACAACCCCCCCTTCCTTCACTACCACGTCGTATGGACACACTGTATGGACCCGTGTCCACTGTGTTCATACAGTGTGTCTTATATATCCTCACTGAGAATCACACTAGTAAAAACTAGGACTAATTGTGTATACGATGTATCATTTGTACTATGTTGTAACGTAATTTTTTGTACTATGTTATATTGCAATTTGATATATTAGTTGTAGCAAAATAAAAATTTCACTCCTCTTAATTAAATAATAACAAGAGAGCAGCACAGTACTAGCCTCACTGGCCCATGCTTGGAGGATCCTACTGACACTCGACCATTCTTGCTCATCTGCCTAACTTAGTGAGCAATGTACACTTAAGCAGAATCTTTGACTTGCGTTTAGTGGAGGGAAGTTCATGCCTCCATCACTTATTGCACTTTAAATGAATCAAGTGGGTTGTGAGAATCATATAAAAATTATTTTAGTTATTTGTAAAGCTACGTTAAAATGGAAGCAACTTGAAGATAGGAAGCTACACTAAACATTGTGTACATGTACAACTTACAGAGGCTCGGGACCTAGAAGTGGAGAGCGAGCGTGGTCGGCGGAGACGACCCAGTAACCTGTCCAGCACACCACCACTACCTTGCTGCTGCTTATCCTCCCGACACCCCTGCTGGAGGGGGTGTAGGTGCTGCTTCAGACCATCATCCAGAGTCCGGGTTACTACACCCTTTTGAGTGAGGGATGTGTTGTCTTGAGTACGGGCTACTACACCCTGGCCCCCATCTTGGGTGTCAGGAATGACCTGCTCCTCTGCCGAGGTGACAAGAATGGCCGGTGCGCTAGACTCTTCTTGTCTACGACTGTCCATCACAGTTTTGTATTTCTGGTTCCAGTTTAAAGTTTTACAACGCCTAAAACTGTTTCTTGGTGAGAAGGAACACTGTCCTTTGACCCCCACGGAAGAATAGACAATAATGGGAACACTGGGGTGCCGGGAATACTTCCTCCTGCGATCAACAGTCTCCGCGGTCTTCTTCATTTCCAGGTAAAACTTTGCAGCGTCGTCACCTTTCATGATTATATCTACATTTTTCACACCTTTCTGGTTTTTAAACAAAAAACATGAAATCTTTTTCATCTGAAGTGGTAAGTCTTTAGCTTTCTCCAATATGCTTTTTCTGTTACCGCTAACCTCGTTACTTTTAATACTTATCGTTTCACTGAACAGTTTCGGGAAAAATAAATCTGAATTTCTCCACTTTTGCTTAAGTGATTTAGATACTGTGTGCAGGTAGCTAGAGTTTGTCTTTTTGCGTAGAGTGACTTGCTGAGTGTCAGTGCTGGGCGCAGCTGCCTCCTTGACCTCCACACTACACACTGCGGTCGTCATTGTTCTGTTAGACTTACAATCCACACTACACTTGTCTAACATCACTACATCCGGCATTACTCTATCAACCGCCATTATCTTATCTTCAGGGACATCGCTGTTATCACTCATTTCTCCCCCACTGCAGAAACCCTTGTCATGATCGACCTCTTCGTCATCTACCGGAGTGTGACTATGATGGGAGGTGCTACTGCTGCTGGGTGCTCGACGAGGTGTCAGGCGAGTGCGCGGTCTTCTGCGACACGACACGCGACATGACGGTCGACGACGGACAGAAGCCGACGACCGGGTGGGCAGCCGAGACTCCCACACCCACGACACCTGAAGAAGATCTGGTGTGGCCATGCCAGAAGGAGGTTCTGTCTGGGAGCGCGTCTCACGTTCCTTGAAGACATCTGGCAATTTGGGTGTGACTACGAGGCGACCCCTCCGAGAGGGACGTCCTAGGGACGAGCTTTGGTATCTTCCAGGTGTAGAAACTTTACCCAGTTTGGCAAATCTGCCAAGCGGAGGCGTGTAACTTCCGCCATCATTGAGACACGGCTCAGGTCCCCTCGGTGCATGACGCCGTGGCTGTCTTGCTGTTGAAGCGAAGTTTCCACAATGACGTGTTGATACTCTGGCTGACTCCACACGGTGCTCTTCGGGGATGACATCATAAAATGTTTGCTGGTCACAGAGGGACAGTTGATCACAAGGGATGTGCTGGCTACCAGATGCGTGTTGGTCTGGTGAAAACGAGCCACTCGCCACTGTGGAAGAATCACATGCCCCAACATTCCAGTATGAGAGGTTATCAGATACGGACGCTGCATCTTGACTAGTGTAAACCTTGCTTGGAATCCCATCCCAGCTGGCCGTGTGGGGACCAGATAAAGTCAGGGGAGAGGGATGTTCACTGCTGACATCGTAGGGGCTGGCTGAAGACTGATCACTACTGGACAGGTGAAGACCACTACTGGATCCGTTAGGGTCTGGAGAGGTCTGATCGCTACTGGAAAAGGGAAAACCACTACTGGATTCGTTAGGGTCGGATGAGGTCTGATCACTACTGGAGGGATGAAGGTCTAGAGCTGGGAGATGTGGTTCTTGAATGGAGTCCTTGTGGCCTTGATCTGTCCTTGAGGTCATCAAGTCAGTCATGCTCAGCAGAATGTAACAAAGCCACCGATAACACGTTATTACTAGCAAATAGGTGAAGTGAACACCATGGGCCATACAAGAGGCTAGGGGAGGCAGGGTTGACACCAGCAGGCTGATGTCACCTGTTACCACAACTCCTTGTACACATGGCGGGATGGATGCGTCAGTTTGTTTACAAGTTGGATGAGGTCGGCGTGTGAGAGGGGCGGGCAGGTGCGTGAGAGCCAGGTGTTACATACTACTTACAGGTGTCCTCTACGCTATCATCCCACCCTCTCTCACAGTTGTCCTGGTCAGTGCCGGAGACCAACACCAGCTAGCCAATCCTTGTTTGAGCCACTTCGCCAACTCTCCAGGCTCGCAGCGAAAACCAAGTGATGAAACACGTAGCTGGCATCCACAGGTCCAGTTGGCACCCACCAAAAATAGTTCAATACAAACGACAATGTCTATTTTCAGCTAGAGTGGAGGCAATGTTGTAGTATATGATGCCCGTGGTGAGGAAGGTATCACCACTACACATCACCCGTGGTGAGGAAGGTATCACCACTACACATCACCCCTGGTGAGGAAGGTATCACCACTACACATCACCCCTGGTGAGGAAGGTATCACCACTACACATCACCCCTGGTGAGGAAGGTATCACCACTACACATCATCCCTGGTGAGGAAGGTATCACCATCCGTGGTAAGGAAGGCATCACCACTACACACCACCCGTGATGAGGAAGGTATCACCACTACACATCATCTCTGGTGAGGAAGGTATCACCACCCGTGGTAAGGAAGGTATCACCACTACACACCACCCGTGATGAGGAAGGTATCACCACTACACACCACCCATGATGAGGAAGGTATCACCACCCGTGGTGAGGAAGGTATCACCACTACACACCACCCGTGGTGAGGAAGGTATCACCACTACACACCACCCGTGGTGAGGAAGGTATCACCACTACACCACCCGTGGTGAGGAAGGTATCACCACTACACACCACCCGTGGTGAGGAAGGTATCACCACTACACACCACCCGTGGTGAGGAAGGTATCACCACTACACACCACCCTTGGTGAGGAAGGTATTATAACCTCCACTATAAATATTGTTCACAGAGTAGCTTCAACACACTATCTCTCATCATGCGGACTTGTATCATCAGAACAGAGATAAATTTCCTTTACAAGATATTCTGAACCAATAGCACACTAGATTCCCGAGTCTTGTCCGCAAGAAGGTGATGGCACGAAGATACACTACATTACTAGTACACTCATCTGCTGCATGACACACGACACGTGACGATACACCAGTACACGAGTCTGGTGCATGATGCAAGGCGAGGCAGCAGTGACCACCAGTATGAGAGCAGGTCACTCCAGCAACCTCTGCTTGGTTATGGTGCCAGCCACCCACTGACGAGCGTGGCACCCGCTCTGGCACTCACACCTGCACTCCCCAGCCATCCAACCCACCCCACTATCCCCTCACCTCTAGACACAACTACACTCCCATTTCCTTCCCACCCCTACTCACTGCTCATTCCCCTATACCACTGCCACCCCGTTTCGGCTACCCTCTCTTTCATTAGTGGCTATATTAAGTGCAGTAACGCCACTGTGGATGAATGGGTTAAGTTTAGCTGGTGTGTTGGTATGGTCTGGCGTGTTGGCAAAGACAGGTGTACTCACCTACCCGTGTTTGCAAGAGTCGATTCACGGCTCTCAGACTTCACCCATAATTATCATCAGCCGGTTTTAATAATTCCTGGAATTCACGACACGATCATTTCTAGTCTTGAAGCTGTGTTGTTTACCGCCATGTCTTCACCGAGCGCAGTGGATCTCAACCATTCTGCAAGCCGCAACAACATTTCGTTTTTCACAACATCTGGCGCATCTATATATATGGAGTTCACCTCTAGTGCAGATTGTCGTGTCCATAGTCTCGCAGAAGTGGATAAAAAAGCTTCGAGGAAAAATATTTTGATTTCTTCCTGAAGCCATTTGAATATTCCACTTTTCCTACCACCCCATCTTTTTTTTTACCAACAGGTATATTTTATTACATAATATGGTATACAAGACTTACAAGATACCAAACAAACTGGCGTTATTGGAAGTAATAATAAGGATACCTCTGCCCTCTCCCTCCCTCTCAGTGGTTACTTGCCCTCTCCCTCCCTCTCAGTGGTTACTTGCCCTCTCCCTCCCTCTCAGTGGTTACTTGCCCTCTACCCTCCCCTCTCAGTGGTTACTTGCCATCTCCCTCCCTCTCAGTGGTTACTTGCCCTCTCCCTCCCTCTCAGTGGTTACTTGCCCTCTCCCTCCCTCTCAGTGGTTACTTGCCATCTCCCTCCCTCTCAGTGGTTACTTGCCCTCTCCCTCCCTCTCAGTGGTCACTTGCCCTCTCCCTCCCTCTCAGTGGTTACTTGCCCTCTCCCTCCCTCTCAGTGGTCACTTGCCCTCTCCCTCCCTCTCAGTGGTTACTTGCCCTCTCCCTCCCTCTCAGTGGTCACTTGCCCTCTCCCTCCCTCTCAGTGGTTACTTGCCTTCCCTCCATCTCCCTCCCTCCCTCTCAGTGGTTACTTGCCCTCTCCCTCCCTCTCAGTGGTTACTTGCCCTCTCCCTCCCTCTCAGTGGTCACTTGCCCTCTCCCTCCCTCTCAGTGGTTACTTGCCCTCTCCCTCCCTCTCAGTGGTTACTTGCCTCTCCCTCCCTCTCAGTGGTTACTTGCCCTCTCCCTCCCTCTCAGTGTTTACTTGCCCTCTTCCTCCCTCTCAGTGGTTACTTGCATCACAAGTGAAGAACAACTCTGACAGACTAGAAACATCAACTAATCATTCCTTGCTAGCTCCCAGGCTTTTCAAGTGTGGACAACCACAACATTTATATTCTGATTTACTACTCTTCTCTCTCTCTCTCTCTCTTACATTGTCAACTGCGAAGCATTACCAACAGAAAACCTAAATACCCACTGCATCAGATGCTAGAAATGTGATGACATTGATTGTGTGTGTGTGTGTGTGTGTGTGTTGATCGAACATGTGTGTGTCTGTAGTTATCGAACATGTGTGTGTGTAGTTATTGAACAAGTGTTTTTGTGTGTTTGTAGTGATCACCTGTGTGTGTGTGTGTGTGTGTGTGTGTGTGTGTGAGTACTCACCTAATTGTAGTTGCAGGGCTCGAGACTCAGCTCCTGGCCCCGCCTCTTCACTGAACGCTACTAGGTCCTCTTTCTCCCTGCTCCATGAGCTTTATCATACCTCGTCTTAAAGCTATGTATGGTTCCTGCCTCCACTGCATCGCTCGCCAGACTGTTCCACTTCCTGACCACTCTATGACTGAAGAACTGCTTCCTAACATCCCTGTGACTCATCTGAGTTTTCAGCTTCCCTTGTTTCTGTGTCCCATCTCTGGAACATCTTGCCTCTGTCCACCTTGTCTATTCTGCGCAGTATTTTGTATGTCGTTATCATGTCTCCCCTATCCCTCCTGTCCTCCAGTGTCGTCAGGCCGATTTCCCTCAACCTTTCTTCATAGGACATTCCCCTTAGCTCTGGAACTAACCTTGTCGCAAACCTTTGCACTTTCTCTAATTTCTTAACGTGCTTGACCCGGTGTGGGTTCCAAACTGGTGCTGCATACTCCAGTATGGGCCTGACGTACACGGTGTACAGTGTCCTGAAAGATTCCTTACTTAGGTATCGGAACGCTAATCTCAGGTTTGCCAGGCGCCCATATGCTACAGCAGTTATCTGGTTGATGTGTGCTTCCGGAGACGTGTTCGGTGTTATAATCACGCCAAGATCTTTCTCCCTGAGCGAGGTTTGCAGTCGTTAGCCACCTAGCCTATACTCCGTCTGCGGTCTTCTTTGCCCTTCTCCAATCTTCATGACTTTGCATTTGGCAGGGTTGAATTCGAGAAGCCAGTTGCTGGACCACGTGTCCAGCCTGTCCAGGTCTCTTTGAAAATCTGCCTGATCCTCATCCGATTTAATTCTCCTCATTAACTTCACATCATCTGCGAACAGGGACACTTCTGAGTCTATCCCTTCCATCATGTCATTCACGTATACCAGAAATAGCACTGGTCCTAGGACCGACCCCTGCGGGACCCCGCTCGCCACAGGTGCCCACTGTGATACCTCATCACGTACCATGACTCGTTGTTGCCTCCCTGTCAGGTATTCTCTGATCCATTGCAGTGCCCTTCCTGTTATACGCGCCTGATCCTCTAGTTTCTGCACTAATCTCTTGTGAGGAACCGTGTCGAAGGCCTTCTTGCAATCCAAGAAGATGTGTGTGTGTGTAGTGACCACGCGTATGTGTTTGTAGTGACCACGTGTGCGTACTCACCTAATTGTGGTTAGAGGGGTCGAGACTCGGCTCCTGGCCCCGTCTCTTCACCGAGTGCTACTAGGTCCTCTCTCTCCCTGCTCCATGAGCTTTATCATACCTCATCTTAAATCTATGTATGGTTCCTGCCTCCACTACCTCACTTGATAGGCTATTCTACTTCCTGACACCTCTATGACTGAAGAAATACTTCCTAACATCCCTTTGACTCATCTGAGTCTTCAACTTCCAATTGTGACCCTTTGTTTCTGTGTCCCATCCCTGGAACATCCTGTCTCTGTCCACCTTGTCTATTCCACGCAGTATTTTGTAAGTCGTTATCATGTCTCCCCTAACCCTCCTGTCGTCCAGTGTCGTCAGGCCGATTCCCCTTAACCTTTCTTCGTAGGACTAACCTTGTCGCAAACCTTTGCACTTTCTCTAATTTCTTGACATGCTTGATCAAGTGTGGGTTCCAAACAGGTGCTGCATACTCCAGTATGGGCCTGAAATACACGGTGTACAGTGTCTTGAACGATTCCTTACTAAGGTATCGGAACGCTATTCTCAGGTTTGCCAGGCGCCCGTATGCTGTGTGTGTGTGTGTGTGTGTGTGTGTGTGTGTGTGTGTGTGTGTGTGTGTGTGTGTGTGTGTTTGTAGTGACCACCTGTGTGCGCACTCATCTATATGTGGTTGCAGAGGGTTGATTCTTAGCTCCTGGTTCCGCCTCTCAACGTGACGCTTGCCAGATTCACTTTCTCCTAGCCTAATGGGCTCTATCGTACCTATTCATAAAACTGTGTATGGAGTCTACCTCCACTACTACCTCATCGACGTCATTGCACTTTCCGATCACCCTGAGACTGAAGAAATACTTCCTGATATCCTTACTCATCTGTCTTTAGCTTCCAGCTATGCCCATGAGTACCTGTTTTAAGCCTCTCAAACAGCCTGTCCTTCACAGACTGTTTTATAAATTCTTATGAGTATTTTGTATGTCATGTCTTTCCCGTTAGTGTGTGTGTACGCGCGCGCGCGCGTTAGCTCGCGCTCACCTATTTGTTTTTGCAGGGGTCGAGTCGCTGCACCTGGCCCCGCGTCTAAGCTCGTATCGACAGGTTTTCCTGAATTCTGACCTGGAAAGTCGGCTCGTGCGCGCGTGTGCACTCCTAGAGCTGTATTTTCGGGGGACGATACTTAGCTCCTGGCCCCTCCTCCTACACCACCTTGACTGGTATCACTGATTTCTGGCTTCTCGGGCCTTCTCACATCTTGTCTTGAAGCTGTGTATCGGGCAGTGCTTGATCAGCTGGGCTGTGATAATCACGTTGTGTTTCGTCCAGGTCATCCACCGGAAAGTCTGGTCATGGACCTGGCCGCGGGGGAGTTGACCCTAGGAACACTCCAGGTAGACCACTGCCTCATCCAAGTCATTGCAATATCAACCATCCTCAGACTTAAGAAACACTTCCTAACATCACTGACTCACCTGTCTGCACACATGATGACTCCGGGTAATAAAGACATTCAGAAAAAAAAGAAATAATAACCAGTTTGAACTTTTTTTAAATTAATGGTATAAAAAGTTGAAAATTTATCGT